TTCTATTTATGGCAGAAGTATTCCTGGGAATATGAACTTTATGGAATTTTATGGAAACTTGGGCGTAGCGGCTTCATTCCGGTCCAATAAGAAAAATCGCAGAAGTTTCAGGATCTTGATAGATGTGAATTGTTCGCTGGTTTTTGTCAAGCTGCTTTTCAACCTTCTCTAGTAAAGTAGTTACTACATTCATAGTATCCAAGGCCTTTTCTCACATCTTCTTGTGCGATTCGTGGGCGTCTGCAACTTTCTTCTTCTTTGTTTTGCGTTTTTCTGTTTCTTCGTCCTCGGTTTCTTCGGAATCTGATGAAAGCAAAAAGTCGACTTCAATTTTTTTCTTTATTGCATCTTTTCTCCTCTCCTCTTGCCAGCATATTTCATTTGCATTTGTTGACGAATTGACTGAATCTTCCACGTGGGTTTCGATTTCTTTGGATTGTAGTGGCTTGTTGTTTACTGATTTCTGAACGCTCTTCTTTACTATTCCTTTCAATCTAGTGATCAGTCTGTCGTATTATTTTCAAGATAAAGTTGAACAACTCGTTCAGGAAGTCCAGTATCAACTATTCTTGCACGCTGTAGCTACGCTTTTCCTACCCTGCGAACAGAGTGTTATTTACCTTACCTCATTAAAAAATTCGCGAAGGAAATACTTAATACTTACTTACTTTCTTTCTCGCTCACATTCACTCGTTTAGAACCACCTAGAAAACAAAGAACTAACTTCGATTGTCTCTCTCTTTTGTTGGTAAAAGTAAACTATTTATACATGGAATATTAGAACGTGTTCGCATAACCCACTTTTTAAATGCTAATGAGTTTGCTAATATTCTAATGAGATTGGCACAAGAAACAAAACAAAGAGCAAAACATGCTTGAGTGATTTCAGTAGCGAATATTATTTCAAAACTATTTTGAGCTCAGTTCAATAAATGCAAAATTTCAAAAGGAAACATTTTTATTTAAGCTATACAGCTATCTCAACTTCTCGTAAACTACATGCAAGTAATTAGATTAGACGCGGCAAAAGATAGACGTCTGAAACGGACCTCATTGTCCAGAATCGGTTTTGATTCTGGTATCGACGGGTTGTGGATGTCTGCAATGCTTGTTTTATAATTCTTCCCAAGCGCCCAATTTATTTAAAACAATTTAAATTAACATTATCAACCGCCTAAAAGAAACGATCTGTTGGCATTCAAGGAATTTTCAATCTTGTAGCCAATAACTGTTGAAATTGATTAACTTTAATAATAAAAATGTTTCCGTTTGAAATTGTGTATTTATTKAACTGAGCTCAAAATAGTAATATTTTGMAATCTCTCAAGCATGTTTTGCTCTTTTGTTTCTTGTGTCAATCTCATTAGAATATTAGCAAAACTCATTAGCATTTAAAAAGTGGGTTATGCGAATACGTTCTAWTAGAACGTATTCGCATAAGTTTAGTGGCTTAAAATGTTTATATATACATAACAAAACATTTTAAGCCGTTAACTTTAGTGGCTTAAAATGTTTATATATATATAATGCTTATTCTTATATTATATTAAAATTAATTTAACCGAACAAGTTAATGGCTTAAAATGTTTTGTCATATATAGCAAGATAATGGCTTAATAGGCCGTTATCTAAACCCCCAAACATTGTGGGTTCTATTGATTCTACACCACATGCGATATACCGAAAGAAGGCTATTCGAAAGAATCTAACAATCAAACGACAAATTGTATATGATGAATTTTTATGAAAAACGTTTGTGTACATACAACTACTAAGGTTAGAAATATCTTAGAGTCATATTARATACTCTAAATAATTATTTGTCATTCAATTCAGTGTTTTTGTAACACAAAAAAATGTTTAACAAGTCAAAAAACTTTACCCAGTGATGTGAAATGATTCTAATATGTCATCTCTCTTTACTTTATCAGAGTTAACATTTTATTTTGACGAACAGAATTATATTAAGACTTTGATCTATGTCTTATGTGTAGGTCTCCCGTGAATCGAACTCAGTACATATAGGTACTGGACTGTTAATTGGTTTTATTTTTTTTATCAGGTATCAGCATTAGTAACATTGTACACTCATCTTGGAAATATAGACGCAGCCATCTCAGTACTTGACTCATCTGTGAAATATGCTCAAGAAAATAAGGTATTTTTACTATTAAACAATGTCCTCTTGGYTGTTGCATAGGTTGATCTGAGGCTAATAGAGGGGACTCTCTCATACTGCTGGTGTTCAGGGCTTATTTTGCAGAACCCAATATATTAAGCAAATTTGCTGGATGTGAATTGTGGGACATAGTCTCTTCGGTGTTGTACATCTCTGTCAGAGTGTTAACTTCATAGTTCACCTGTAAAATGTATTTAAAGCACTTTTAGAAATCAATCAATCAATCAATCAATAATTGTTTAATTAAACTCATTGCAGCAAAGCTGAATATCAGCCATAATTGTATATTTCAACCAACCTGGCTGCTCTATTGATAATAACTGGGTTCGAGTCCCGCCAAGAAAATTGGTTTTCTCATATCTGTATCAATACAATCCATTTCACTAAACATAGAGCAGTAAAAGAAAGCAAAGTTTAATTCAGCACTTCCCATGGATTCACTCTAATCAACAACAAAACATCAAAGCTATCAGGGCTCACTGAAAAATATATGTATGTTTGAGGTACCACCAAACCTCGCCACAGTGTTTTGTGATAGCTGAAACAATATATGGAAAATTCGGAATAAAATCTTCGTTCAAACTCCAAGGTGTTTATTGTTCCATTCAACAATATTGTATGGTACACTTACAACAGGCTGACTGTACTGTTTTTAGAATGCCCTCACTCAATCAGAAATGATCAGTTTAATGCGAGAAAATGTTGCCTACAAACTTTCCCATGGTCGGGCTAAGGAAGCTGTACAGATGTTGGAGAGACTGCACAGGTAAACAGAGATGTCAAGATAATGAATTGTGTGTATTTTAGGTATCTTTGATGATGTCCAAAAGGTTTTGAGGGCCATAAAAAGCTAAGCTAGTATCTTTTAGAATATCTTCTCTTAAGATAATAACAGCAAACAAAAGCATAATTGATTACATCCACTTTACTTTTACTCACGCGGATGGGATTTTACACTTTTGTTTGCTAGTGGGTTTGTTTCTTTGTCTCTTTGTTTTTTTTTTCTCGATGACAAGGACAGTAATCSTTATTTACGTTTTTTGGGGGATTGTATAGTTTTAACCACATTTGGTTGGTTTACAGGGAAGATCCACATAATATGAAGACACTTGCACAGCTTATCACCGCTTACTCTCAAGTAAACCCAAAACAAGCSGAGAAGTATCCTTAAACCTGTGTGTACATGTGGCATGCTATCACTTCACTACTATCGTTGATTCCCTATCGTTAATTCCCTATGTCACAAGACTGAGACTCATTCTGTAAAATTATTGAATAGCTCAACTTTCTATCAAGATTTCGACTCAATTTTGGGATTTGAAAGGATTGATAGAAAGTGGACAAAGCATTTTGGTCTTGGTAGTATTTGTGAAAACGATCTACCATCAAAAAATCACCTGGCAATACAGGGATCCCATTTACCGCTTGTACCGTTGCTAAATCCCAGTTTCCATTTGTCCGAACTCCGAACTAGTCAACTAATTCTTGTCTGAATAACCCCAAACGCGTTCGTGCATTCTCAGTAGCCGACTAGATATTTTGATTTAATGACCATTTACAAAAGAATTATAGATGAGGAGGTTCTAGGAAATAAAAGGCTCTAGGAAATAAAAGAAGCGAAATACTTTGTGCTTATCATTCACGGCATACCCCACCACAATCAAAGTGCTACCATTTATCAAATATCAAAGATAACATTGTTTTACKGACGGCGTATCATAAAGAAGTCAATCCTTTACATAAACACTAGATACAGCATGGAGCTCCCTGCTTTWGATGGCGTTACCGATGTTGATGTCGATTCACTGGAGCTAAGTCCAGGTATGCGGTTTGGTCGTCCAAAGCGCACTGCAGATGACATGATGGGAAAGGACAGGTAACAATTTCTGTTGTGTAAAATTCCCTTCGGCTGGATCTGATAATGATTTTTATTTTATAGTAGTGATGTCATCATGAGAAAGAAACGAAGAAAAAAGAAAAAAGGTTAATATTTGTGTCACAAAATAACATAATTTTATAGAACTGAAATAGCCTTGTGCACTCGAAGTACGCACTAGAAGCATAACTCCATGAAACAAAAATAGCCTAGTGAACTCGAGTTACACACTAGACCTCGTAACTCGATGGAACTAAAATAGCCTAGTGAACTCGAGTTACACACTAGACCTCGTAACTCGATGGAACTAAAATAGCCTAGTGAACTCGAGTTACACACTAGACCTCGTAACTCGATGGAACTAAAATAGCCTAGTGAACTCGAGTTACACACTAGACCTCGTAACTCGATGGAACTAAAATAGCCTAGTGAACTCGAGTTAGACACTAGACTCGTAACTCGATG